GCAAATAGTTTCTCAATTGTAAGTGACCTGCTTAAACAAGCTAGCTGGCAGAAGTTAGGGCCTATAAGCTCACTAAAACATCTGTGTTAAGTGTATTTTACAATACTGGTTGACAGTAGCCAGGAGCCATGTCGTAGAGCTCCAAAATTGAATGTCTATCTTTCTTTCCTATTGAACTTGATATCAGACTTAAAAAAAGACCCAGTATGATTGGTTTTAAGTTTTATGTACAGTAACTGTTAAGTACATGACATAATTTTCTGACAAGTTTAACTAGTAGTATCAGGCATATTATGATACATGACCGATGCCAAATTTCATGATAGTCACCGTGGTATTATGATACAAGTTTGTGTGAATGATTTAGGTATGGCATCAGATGTTCTTTGAAATTGTTCAACCTTCGTATTGTGTGTGCTCTTATATTAATGTTCTTTGTTAAAGGTGTTTTTTATTTGTTTAATTGTTCCTCGGTAGAGTCTCCTGCTTTTGAAGTTGTGCCATATCTAAAGGTTGAAACAACGTGTGCTTGCAGCTAGTCGTGGAGAGTATAATGCTGTTTTCATGTATTTTGGATTGCCATCAAAACTACACTCTCCGGACTAGTTTACACAACTACATTAAGTGTGGTGATCTTCCACTTGGATTGCCATCAAAATTTTAGTAGTGAAGGAGAGTACTTTGGGACAGTGTATTGTATTTATCATTGCTCTAGATAAAATTGTTAACTGCTTTCTCTTCTTCAACTAGATAATGTAGTTAGTAACTTAATTAGCCAGGTGATTGAATTCATGCATTGTGCCGAGGTAAATATGAAGTTGAGAATTTCTTACGATTATTAACGATGTTGAGAATTTCTTACGATTATTAACGACGGGCTATACACATGCTTTAAGAGAGGTTGATTGGAAGGAATTAAGAAAGATCTAATGATATAGTTAACTTAACCGAGGAGATTAATCATAATGGAATGTAATTGAAGAATAGAGTTTAGGTAATCGAACCTGAAAATTTGGGATAAAGCGTTTGGTGTTGATGTTGTATTGTTTTTGTGTCTAACAAATTTTTATTATTATCTGATGTAGAGGCCTCCTTTCTCACTCGCCCAGAGAATCAATGGTATACAGAACCGAGCTCATCGCATGCAAGTTCTTTTACCAAGGAAGAAGTGTCCAATATGGAATAGAGAAGTTCTGAGGAACTGGAACCTTAATTTTTGCAAAGACATTGTATGCTCAGTGCTTGTGGAGTGACATTATATGATCAAAGTGAAATAATAATTTTCTCCTTTTGCTGTTGATTTCTGACATTAATTCTCCAACTAACAAACAGAAGAGTGTTGTACAGAAACCATGACCTAACCAGTTGCAATTCACTGGTTATATTGGTGAAAGTGATGTGATATTTTGACATTGCACAATATATCAGCAATCATTTTGTTTTCCAGAAAAAAAAACATAAATCACAAATTGGCTACGCAGAAGAAGAGATGATCCAAATTGCCCCCTTTGAAACTTTTACTTACATTCAGGTACAATGAGTTATCTGTTATTACACATGTGACCTCGGAGTTTGTGATTCTATACGAGTAAACATGAGACTACTAATCATAACTAGGATATTTTGTATAATACCAAATCGACATTTTAGCGTTATTTCAAAAAAGATATTAATCCCTCGTGTCTCAACCGAATTTCATATTAGCGCTTCAAATCTTTGAAATTGCTTAGAAGGTAAATAACTCGAAAGTGGTATTTTTTTAAAAAAATAATGAGATTAATCTCCTTAGCCCTTCTTCATTTTCCAAACACAAAAGACTTAACCTCTTGTCTTAACTATCGAATCCAAACAGAATAAGAATATTTTTAACCCTTCACGATGGATTAACTAAGTTAACCATTTTTCCTAATCCATCTTCCTTAACCCTTTGCCAAACGTAGCCTAAATAGCTAAATCTTTCTCTCGACAGCTGAGCTCCTCATCATCCCGACCCCAATTCCTCCTCCTCCACCTCCTCCTCCACTGGCTCACCGCCTCTTGAACCCAGAGCCTCCGAAGCCGCCTCCTCCCCAGCTTCGCCTCTTTCGTCGAAGTCATCGCCACGCCCATCGTCGGCGTGTCCTACGTCAGCACGCCGGTCCCTGAGATCTCAAAAGGAATTCCAAAGCTCTCGACTCAAAGTCTTCAATTGAGATCTCAAAAGGAAACATGTCTCTTCCCTCTTTATTCCTAAAATTTTCACTAAAAATACGATCTTTTCTGTTAATAATCATTGTGTGTTTTAGAGAGATCGAGCTGCATGGTTGATGAGAGGCAAGGATCAATTCGTCGACTCCATTGCTGAGAATCTCCTAGTTCGCCTAGAAAGTAATTTAGAATGGCAAGAATCATTTGTAGTTATGGAACAATCCATCAATCTGTTTTCTTGTGATATTGAAGTAATCAACTTGAATGTCCATCCCAAGCCTATTGATCTGAGACAAAACATGGGAATTAAATATTAATAATGATTATGATTGAAAATTTTATGTAAATAAAAATAAGAATTAGATTGATGCATACAAAAATTCTCCCTGTGCCATTCAGAATTCCTCCACCTCCTGATGCATAGGTCACTCCTTGGAGTATAATTGGTCCTGTTGTATTCGGGTCTAGAAATGGTTGTGCATATCCCTTTTTGCCCCAACATCTCACCTAAGATAAGAGAATGCATCAAGTATGCGAAGAGTCTTCCTGGAAGAAAAATGAAGTTTGCACAGTGCATTGCACAAACTTGTTCAGGTAAAGCGAAAAAAATTCAGCACAGCAGGATGTGTCCAACATGTGGAATTCTATGTTTCTAACGTTGGAGAGTGTTTTGAACTTTTGTCGGGCATTTGAGCACTTGGAGTTGATTGATCCAAATTTTACTTTTTTGCTATCAAGTGAAGAATGGGTAAATGTTGAAAAAATTGCAAAGTTTGTAAAACCTTTTTATGAAGTGTCCACTCTTTTTTCTGGAAGTAAATATCCAACTGCCAACTTATATTTTGGTGGAGTGTTTCACATTCAAAAATGCATAATGGAGGAGATGAAAAGTGATGATCAAGATATAAAATCCATGGTAAATGATATGAAAATAAAAGTTGATAAATATTGGGAATGTTACTGTGTTATTTTGTCATTTGCAGTCATTTTAGACCCCCGATACAATGTGAAGTATATAGAGTTTTGTTTTGAGAAATTGGGAGTTAGTTCTGATTATGTGTTGACTATCTTAGAGAAACTGATAAGTCTTTACAAAGAATATGAGCGAGCATCTCTAGGTACATATGTAGCTGAGAGTAGTGGTGAAGAGAACTCTCTAGGTACATATGTAGCTGAGAGTAGTGGTGAAGAGAACTTTGGAGATGTTCCTAATGATGAGATGGTTGAGTTTGAACAGTTTGAGAGTCAAAGAACTTTGGAGATGTTCCTAATGATGAGATGGTTGAGTTTGAACAGTTTGAGAGTCAACTATATTCAGTTAGTGGGTCCAAGTCTCAGTTAGAAGAGTATCTAGATGAAAAATTAGTCAGTTAGAAGAAAAATGATCATTTGAATGTTCTCGAGTATTGGAAAGGCGAATGCGAGAAGCGTCCTTAGTTGTTGATGATGACTCGAGATATATTGAGTATTCCTATTACTTCGGTGGCCTCTGAATCGGCTTTCAGCATTGCGGGTCGTGTGTTTGATAAGTATCGAAATTGTCTTCTTCTGGAGAATGCTGAAGCTCAAATTTGCATTGGTTCTTGGTTAGACGGGATTCCTTATGAGCTGCCTTCTTTTTTTTATTGCTTTTTTGTATTGTTGTGGACTACATATTTTATCACAGAATATTAATATTATTTTTTCTTATTAAATGCAGCTCTGGCAGACATTGAAGAAGAAAATTTATTAGTACATGATTTCAATAATCTAGAGGTTTCTAAATCGGAAGGCGAAAGTGATTAAGGTAAGATTTTCAATCATGGATTTGATTAGGAAATCTAAGGTTAATTTCATTTTTTTTTTCTTTTGGTTTTTGGTTCGCAAATCTGAGGTTAATTTCACTTTTTGTGCAGCACTTTCTGAGCAGGGGGTCTAGTCAAAATCAAATTGATCAATAGGGGCTGTAAACTTCACACATATTTTTCTCTTGTGCTTATTGATCCCTTGTTTGCATGAAAGATTTGGTCAAATACAGACAGTTCCAACTCTATGAATATGTAATAGCTAACTGAGATTGGCTTGTTCCCCACTGATTATTCTCTTGGGAACTTTCAACATGTCTTACTCTAAATCGATACTTATGTACTATCTTAGCTCTTCATGAGCATGCTAGGCCAATGTCACATGTTTTTGTGAAGATTTGCTAAAAGACTGCTTCTCTTCTTTTAATTGTACTCTAATCTTGACTGATTTATCTTCATGTTCATTTATGTGATCCAGCTGTAGGAAACATGTACAATTTTTTTGTTTATTGTTTATTGAAGATTTGCTAAAAGTCCCCAAAAAGTTTGCAAAAAACCCCCAAAAGTTAATAAAAACCCCCAATTGTTTGCAACAAGCCCCCTAAAAATTTATAAAAAACACCCCAAAAGTATTATATACAATATACTATAGCTAAATGGGTAAATGGTGGTCCGTTTATTAAATGGGCGGGTAAAAACCCACCTATTTAAAAAATGAGCGCTGCTACGGGGACCTAAAATATGGGACCAATAGGTGGGACTAGTGATGTGTTCCTCCCCTATTGGATAATGAGTTGGCAATGAGTTGGTCATGCCAACTCATTATCCAATAGAGGAGGGACACATCACTTGTCCCACCCATTGGTCCCATATTTTGGGTCCTTGAGGCATTAATCTTAAAAAATGTTAAATGAGTCATAAATGAGCAAATGAGTAAAATATGCTCACCCATTTATGACCCGCTTATTTAATACCCAAACCCACTCATTTAACATCCTAAGTCATAGACCTTCATCAGAACTGTTGTCCTGAGCTACAAACCATCCAAAATTTCCAGAAGACTGCCAACTGAGCATAATATCGTGAGGATTGTGAGTCTCGAACAATAGGATGATACCTAGGGTTAAAGGGGTATTTCACCAGGTAAGGCGGTCGATATTGGAACATAGGAGGTGGTGCATATAGATACAATATATTTACAAAAGAGGTGCAGGAAATGATGCAGCAACTGGAGCTCGGGGTCCCCTAGCATTCCATTGTTGAGTGTGCTGCGATGTGAGTTGACCAGAACTAGGTTGGGACCTGCCAAAAATTTTGAAGGTATCAGAACTTAGCATTATGACCTGTTCGGGAACAAATAAATAGAAAGGAATAACATTAAAAAAAAGGAAAAATTGAGGTGCCTAGTCACATGAGACTCTCAACGCAAATCCCTGGCTACCTAAAAAAGCCGCCTCTCTTCTTGCTAAATGAAATTGCATTTAATGCAATATGATGGCAATTATGGAGGGAATTTTTTATGCCTCCCTCTTTCATTGTGGGATATTTTTTATGCTTCCCTCCTTTACTGCACGAACATAGATAAGATCCCAAATTTCTTTCATTTATTATGTTGATGTATAAGATGAATATTAGATGTTAGAATCTTAAATTGCAAGTTAAAGTTATAGCTTGTAAGTTAAAATTATCTGTTGACTGTTAACGTTTAACATGTTGTACCTCCTTGCTTTCTTGCAATTTTATTATTGATTTTCTCCTTTATATCTTCCGGTGCGATAACATCAGATTTGGCATAAAAAACCTTCAATCTCTTGTTAAGATTGTGTACTTCTTTCCCATAGGCATCGTAGAGTAATGTCGTCTCCCTCATCGTGACTTCAAATATTCTTTGATTGATCTTAGCAGCATTCCTCCAAAAAACAAGCTGCTCTTCAATGGGTAATTTCTCTATCTCATCTTCCCTTGAAATAGCCTCCTCGATCTTTGCAACAATCTGCAAAATTTAGATTGAAAATTGATTAGTAAACATGAATTATTTTAAAATCCTAACATAAAACATTCAAAATAACATCTAATTTTCTAAGTCTAACATGTGGCTTGTAGCTCTAACATGTATTGTTTATAATTAATATCTATTATATAAAGTTAACAACTACTTTGAAAGATTAATAACTATGTCATAAAATTAACAGCTACCATCTAAGGTTTACATCTAAGGCCTAAGATTAACATGACCGATTTTAAAACTAATATTATATAGCTTACAGAGCTAATCGCGTCTTTTTCCCCTTTATCCTCTGACTTTGCTCTTCTATCGGTCATGCTTTCACCAGCTTTTTTGGTTGGAGATTGCGCATTGTCCTTCCTCACGAAGAGTTCTGTGTTTGTTTTTCTCTTACGGTGGGAAACGTCATCTTTCGTCAATGGGTATTTCTCTTTCAAAGTACCAGCTTTAGCTATTGGTTTTTCTACAAATACTATGCCGGCTTTCTCTGCCTTCGAAATAATAGTCTTCGTTCTGAGAGATCCAGACTTCTCACCCATCAAAACCCAATTCGTAAGCGGAGGCTTCTTGCTATTGCTAATGGCATACTTCTTTATGCCGGTCATCTCATAGTACCAAAGCTATGAATAAGGTTAACACATAAGAATCAAAATTTCACAATTAATAGTCAAAAGTATAAAATTAACATCAACAAATTAACACGTTTAGAATAAATCAAACATTTAACGAATAAGATTAACATGTATTTGTAATTTTAACAACTAAATTTTTTAAGTAATTTTAACAACTAATATTTTTACTTACAGGAATGAGTGGCATACATCCAGGCACATATGTAACTCCTGGTTCTTTCAATCCAACCAGAGCAATATCAATGCCTTCCTTGATTTCAGAAAAAATGAACCTTCCCCACGCAACACTCTTCACTCTTTTGATGCTGCCAACATACTTGAATAAATGCCTAGGAACGCCTTGCACACTACTAGGGCACCATATCATTGAGCACTGATACAAAATTTGTAGCAGAACAAAGTCCTCAACATCCTTATGCGACTTTGAATCCACAAGCATTTCTAGAAGCCCGTCGACATACCTTCGGCCATTTTTTCCAGCAGCCTGCTTATTAGCGAAGTTCATCTTCCAAATACGGTTATTTGGATCTCTATTTCTATGTATTATTTCCCCATCAGTTACAAAACCAGTATGGTTGTGCACCCAATCCAGGTCAAATGTGCAATCCATCTTTTTTCTAGTTTTAGCATCTTTAAACTGAAAATTTTCAAGATTTTTATTATAGTTTCTCAAGCACAATTCAAGAGTTGGACGATCAACTCCTAGGGGGCCAAATAGCACATAATGGACAAACGTGCAACCATCGTACGCATTCCAGTGCCTTTTGTGCATCCTTGGGAGCAATATTTTTCATAAAACATAATATGCACAGAAACTGGCCGTCAACCTTTTATTTCAGCTGGGGCATTAATCTTTGATCTGTAAAACATTCAAACATAATCAGGATTTAAGAAATTAAGAGAAGTAACACCTAAGACTGAAACTTAATAATAACATATTAACTATAACATGTAACTTATATTAATAACAGTCATAATCTAAACTTAACAATCAATGGTTAATCTGAAACGTCAACGTTTAGAAATACCATGTTTTGTCTAAACTCTAAACTTAATAGTTATTCTATAAACTTAACATCCAATGAGGGACTTCCGAATTTTGAATTTCACTCACGACTTCTCTAACATCATCAACCGAAACCTCATCCGCTCATGATAAGCAATGATTAACTTCAAAATCATCCTTGTTCATTTTTCACTACGCAAATTGGAAATTTCCTAGTGAGGACTATGGTCATCGGCCATTATTTAACAATCAAAACCTGAAACCTAGTTTGAGGAGAGGGGGAAGATAGAAGAAGAAAGGAAACTTTTGTTAACTGTTAAAGTTAGAGAGAGAGGGAGGGAGGGAGGGAGAGAGAGGGGGTTACTTCAAATTTGGGCCGCACAGGTAACAAAGGCCGTGGTCTCTGTTATCTGGGTACTCCTAACTAAAGTCGTACCCATACCTATATCTGTATCCAAACTCCTCGGACACTTCTTGCATATACAAATACATTTATTCAGGCATGTACTCACTTATGCATTATATGTTTTAAGTCAAAACATTTCCAATACACTTCTTAGACGCATATCCTACACCTCACATCCACTTCCTAAAACTTGTTCAACATGGGTCGGGTTTCGAACTATAGTCCTTTGGGTGTCTATTTCAAAAAGATAGTTTTCCAATTTATAATCCATATAACAAAAGAAACATAAAAATATTATAGGAATTTTAATTCTCATAACACATTAATGAAAAAACTATATTGACCTCATGTAAATTATTGATTTCGATATATAATATATGTATATGTATATAAATATTTATATCGTCGTGTCCCCATAACCTATCTTTTACAAACTTAACGTCTTTCGTCTTCATACCTGTACTGGCAGCCGTACCTATACCCTTTCCATGCAACTTAGGTTACAGTTACAATCAGATGTGACAGGGGCCATTATGAGGGGTATTTTCGAGAGGAGATTGGTATTTTTCTCACTGTCGAATTGGCACTGTATAAGGGACCTAAACACTTGAAAAGTTCACTGTTGGAGCCTATATACAAGCCCAAAAAATGACGGGCTTAGTCATAAAGTTTTCAATTTTGGCGACTAGGCACATTTTTTCCTAAACAGCCTAAAATTTTTAAGATTTGTCTACTATTCTGTCATTTTCTTCTGCTTCCTGAATCATTAAATCATTAACTCAGAAAAGGATGAATCGGTATGACATCTATTTTGCAACAAAATATAAACCAAGGAGACCTACATGACATCTTACCACAGAAGTTTCTTGAAAAATTAGGATAAAACAAGGTCTGACATAATTTGAAATCATAAATAATAACTAACTTTGCATACATTTATTTTATACTACTAAATTATTGAAACTTATTTAGCAAAACTGGGGGCTATGCTAGCACAAGTATGAACAAACAGACTCAAGAAACTCGCGATGCCATTTTCAGGGGGAAAAAAATTAACAATAATGATGAAAGATTCCAAACAAGTTAGTGGTATTCATCAAATAGGTGAGATGAATGTTATGAGGAAAAAAGGTGCACCCCGGTTACATGCCTACCTTGGAGATGTCATAGGGTTAGACCGTTCATCACTTATTTTCTGTCTTGTGATGTAATGTGGAAGCATCTTTTGAAAGCTCCATGGTCTCTTGCTGCTTGGCCAGCTGCTTCTCAATCTGACACAAATAAAATACGAGAATGAGAGGCCAAAATGCTGTAACATCATTGTTTTTGCGTCATATTATAGATAAATAACATCAAGAAGCATGCACAAAACTCACATGCTAAGACGTACATATAGATGTAATCTTACAATTCATCGTTAAAATTTTCAAGAATTGCAGGGTACCATTGTTGAAGATCATATTTGCATTATATTGCAAGGTTTCTAAAAGACATCAATTCCCTTGATAGTACTTTATTGTTTTCATATAAGATTATGTGTTTAGTATTGAGTGTTTCACGACATGATTGGAATAGACTTATGAAGTTGTATTCACGTGAATAAACTGCATTGGTTTCTTAGGTGCAAATTTATACCAACAAGATAAACTCAGCATATTTTTCTGAGCTAGGTTGCACTGGCATATGTACATGGTAAGGCGACAACACAATACAGTTTCGTAGATACAACACATCCTTGAAAACTAGATACGAATATGATATGGAAACACCACCATAAATTTATTTTTGCTTGTGAATCTACATGTGCATGAATTAATGTTATTTCCTTCCAACACGTGTAAGACTATAATGCTAAGAAACACAAAATCTTAGGTAATACAAAAAGTTTTTCAAGCTTGTAGGTCTTAAGAGGTGACTTACAAATAAAAATAGTAAAATCTTATTCAAGCTTGTTAGAGCTATTTGAACCACTGGTGGATCCACCTTAATCAAAGTGGGGCCCTTTGATTTTAAAATGACATAAAACTCCCCTTAAGTTTTAAGGTACTCAGGAAACCCCTTTCAACTTTTAATTTTTCTTAGAAAACAAAAAAAAAACCCTAAAAGTGTCAATCACAGTTTTCACTGGTAGAAATATCTCTTTGCGTAATTTTACCCACCCATGTGAAATATGAGGTTAACACCATTGAGGGGTTTTTTTGAAAGATGTTGATAGTTGAAGGGGACTTTATGAGAGCCCAACTCAAGGAGGGTTTTGTCATAGTTTGAAAGTTAGGGGGATCATCCGAGAATGCCTAGTCAAGGAGGGTTTTTCCTCAAGTTTATCCATTAAAAATCTCATTTTCACTTCAAATTCATAACCTGAAAGTCAGTTACTAGTAATATATTTGATAGGGTTGATGCCAGTTATCAAATAAGGGGTTTATGTTAGAGTTATGGGAGCGTTTAGGGTCTTCAAACTCCTTCAGATGACTGGTTCCAGAGCCCTATGTTCTTCCCTGCACATGAAAACTCGTAAGAGAGCGGAGTTGGATTCTCCGATTGTTCCTCCAACGATCAAGTCAGTATCTTGATCTTGAGTGGAAAAATGAGACAAATTGTATAGGTAGTTATTCAAAGTTACCAAAAAGCAGAGAGTTACTCATACAACGTAGTTCCCTTTTGTAGTAGATCAGATGGGTATGAAGGTAATTTCGACTGAGTCCAGTCAGGCTGCTGAGTCAGCAGATACCTTTCAGGTGTCGGCCACGAAAGAAAGGGAGTCATCTGGTCATTTAATGAGGGACTGACAGCAGGTGCTTGGAGCTGACTAGGTCCGATGAGTCATAAAGAATATGAAGACTAGAGTAATGATGATTTTCTCAGAGCAGTGAATACAAGAGCGATCGGCCGACGAGGGGTTCAAGTTATCTATCGTCTCTCTTTTTGTTTGGTCAAGGGCCGAGAAGCACCGCATTTTAACTCGGCTACGCAAGTTGTCAGCTGATCCAGTAGGCCAAGTGCGGGTTGCTCGTAGGGTTGATCGGGTGAGGTGGTCTACAAGTACCGCCTTTTGACTCGACTATGCAAGTTGTCGGTTGACACAGTAGACCGAGTGTAGGTAGTTTGAGTTATATCAGCCTCAAGTCGTCTGATTAGGCGAGGGGTGAGACATGTCGGCTTCCCTAGGGAGTTTAGCACTAGTTGATTTTTTAGGCTATAACAGATAGTATTGCTAATAATGCGATTATACACCTTTTTACAAATATAAATCTTGTCGGAATAATTGTAAATTTATAATTATATAGTAACATCACTTTTTAGAAATCTCAGATGCCTTAAAACGAATTTTACTCTAGCTTACATAACTGAAGAAGCTTGAGTATAGTTGGCAAAACACATGCTCTTGCCAAGGGGCTCAACAAAAGCTCTCTAAGAGCAGCTCCATCGGGGAGGCTGCATTTTGCAGCCTCCCCAAAGAATATTCCCAAGCATATTCTGTTTTAGAGGGAGCACTCCAACCACCCCTTTATATGAAACTCCATTTAAAAATATATATTATTAAATGATTATTTATATAATATTTTAAATAATTTTGAAAATATAAAAAATATAAAATGATAAAAAATTATATGAATTAATTTAAAATATAAATATATTATAAATTAATACTAAAATTATAATATATAATATAATTATATATTTAAATAAATTAAATTACCTTTAATGAATTGATAATAAGAAATAGATAATAGCCTTTAAAAATAAAACCGAAGGAAAAAAAAAGATAATGTGTGGTTCATTTTAGAGATAACCGAAAAATAATTAGAAACAGGGTACCGGTGGAATTGGCCCGAAAAGGCAGTTCCAAAAAAATCTTTTAAAAACCAAAAAATATAGCATAATATTTGGAACAATCTTCATAACTACTCTGAAGTCGTATTCTCACTCCATAATGAGCTACGATTTGCCGAAAGTGATGAAATTTTATATATTAAATTCAGCGGCATTACATATAAAAATAAAGTACATGAAGAAAAATTAAAAATCAGGCAAGTCATTTCCTCCATATCCACCACTTCTGTAGTCAGGTATTCTGTATTGACTTCCTGCATAACTATATTCAGGATTAGGAATATCAGATGAAGAACCTCCAGTTGTGTTTCTATTTAAAATCTCTTGTTTTTTAATTCGAAAATACTCGCGTTCCGAAGGATCGGTAATAATATCAAGATTAATTAACATAATTTTACTTTCTTGTCGTTCCCTTTGAAGATCTAATTTTTTCTTATCGTTTTCGGCCCTTAACATCATAATCTGGTGCATTATCATTCTATCATTTTCTCGTTGTCCATCACTTTTTTTAAAAACATCAAGAATTTCTTGATTATTTTTATTGAGAGTTTCAAAGTCGATGTTCTTTTCAATTGCTTGTCGCCTCCTCATCTTCTCTTTCTTCCTTACTGTCGGCCGACTTGTTGACATATCGTCGTCATTATGAGTATATCCCTCGTTATCGTCATTTAAGTCGATGATAGGAGAACTTGAATCTGATCCCTGAGATAAGCGGGGCTTTGCAGTTTTGAAAGTTGCAGGCGATCTGACACTTATATTTGCCCATTTCTTTGCATCTTTTAAAATTGACCAAACATGATCAAATAGAAACCCCTTTCTCTCTTCTGGATCTTCTGCAAATATTATCCTAGCACGTTTAATCTATCACAAGAGAGGAAGAAACAAGTATTAATAACATGATAATATATGTTAATAATCAAGTTTTTTGTTATTCAAATACTTACAATGTCAAGCTCAGAAACACCGCTTGGATTTAGGCGCTCGACTTGTCGAATGCATCCCCGAAATTTACTGATTGCCTTCATAATTAATTGCATTCGGCATGAGAGAGACTTCGGAGTCCTTTGAGGAGTACAAATATTGGAAATCCTTTCATGAAATAAAGCAGAAATTCGTTCCCACATCTTGTCCTTCTTTTGATTAGAACCCATGACTGGGTTTTGAGAAATTTCGAGCCACGTGGCGCATAAAATTTGGTCTTCTTCTTGTAAAAAAGATTTTCCGCGACTGGATGTCATAATCTAAAGAGATAAAGTTGTTGAGGATGATACTATTATGATGGAGGAATGCAAAGAGTTATGAATATAGAATAAGAAGAGTTATGGTGGAGATATGAAAATTGTACAAGTATTTATAGAGATACTTTGGATAGAAATCATTACTGAGGAGAAACCAATGCAAGGAGATTCCAATGTGGAGAGTCTCCAACGCGAAATGAATCCAATGTGGGGAGTCTCCAACACAGAGAGAATCCAATATAGGGAGTCTCCAACACCAGGAGAATCCAATATGAGGAGTCTCCAACACGAAAGGAATCCAATGTGGGGCGTCTTTAACACGAAAGAAATCCAATGCTGGCAAGAATCTAATATGGGGAGACTCTATGCTGGCAGGAATCCAGTGCAGGGAGACTCCAACACGGAGAGAATCCAATGTGGGGAGACTCCAACACGGAAGGAATCCAATGTGGGGAAGAATCCAACACAGAGATAATCCAACACAGCGATGTAACTTTTTTAATTAAAGTTTCGATGTATTTTAATATTAGTATGTTTATCTTCCATGTAATTTTCTAATACATTTTTATTTTTAATTACTTGGTTCTTGGAATTTTATATTTCAATTAATATTATTCAATATTAGTCTCATTTTGAAGGTATCGACAAGACATTTTTTCTAACTGTAAAATTTTTATTTAAAAATAATTAGTAGAAATAGACTTATGTTGATTTTAAATTACTAGTTACTAATTAAAAAGGATATGGAAGTAATAAGTAATTGTTTATAAATCATAAAAATGGTAAATTTGTTATTTAAGAAAAATGAACAGTTGCTTTGCAACCAGCTGCAAATTCAGGAGAGAGACTGCATATATGCAGTCTCATTCCCTCCGGCTGCATTTTGCAGCCGGAGATGCAGCCCGGTTGGACTGCGACGGGGCTGCAAAATCCATTTTTGCAGCGCCGTTGGAGTTGCTCTAACGGTCCTTTTATCAAGTATGCAGGCATGCATATGTGCACGACCTTTCTTCTAGAATGACATTGCTTGATATTTAAGCCTAAAACAGGCAAACTTTAATGTTTCTGAGAAACAAGTAAGTTGAAGTGATTTTCATCATTACTCTGAAAGAGAATCCCAAAAAAAAAAGACAATTTGAAGCCCATCAAACCAAAAATGCCTTTAGACTCTTGCCCGACTTTGTAAAATAATCTAGAACATAGTTTGAGCAAAACTGAAGATCATTTAGATAACTGAACAAATGCGAACAGGGTCAAGCTCCCAAATTCAGCTTAGTTTTCTACCTTGGGTGCAGTTTAGCTACAGCCAAGGGAGCAACAGCATAAAGAATCCATAAATCATCAAGATTGCCGACATCTTCCATCACATCCCTCTTTCGCAATTTCAGTTTCATTCAAAAGGAGAAGCCAGCGATAAAAAGCAAATCTTTACCTTTCTCGTCTTCGACTCGTTCTTCTCGAGCCCCCAAATCCTGTGGCTGATATCAAACGCCTCCCCGCCGTGGGCCCCCGCCGTTCTATACCTTCTTCTCAGAGCCTTTGACCTTGGCGAGGATCTCCGAGCTCGGTAATCTCTTTCCGTCGCAGATTTCGCTTCGAATGCGCGTGGAAAGGGAGGTTTCTTGGGGTCCGAAGGCCTCGGTTCTCGTGAAGGGATAGGATGTGGACATGACTGGGTATCGGGAGAAGTGAAGGAAGCTTTAACGGGGGTTTATCGAGCGGTTGTTTGCCTCATCTTCAGATGCGAACAAGTTAGTTTTGTTCTTAATTAATTTTTGGGTAAATTTTACAAAGCCCCCTTGACTTTGCATCGCTTAGAAATAACCCCGTAGACTTTATAAATTTCACTTAACCTTCCTAAAATCACATGCGATCAAATGACTTAAACAACACCCTCTAATAATAAAAAAGCTTCCTTGTTTAAAACTGGAGTGACAATCTAGGAGCATCAACAAGTCGAATTAAATTGAGAACTCACTCGATCCAACTCAAAAAAACCCAGAAGTTTAGGAAATTTGCTCTCTCTTCACCGAAACAATACAGTTGAGGACAACAAAGAGTTAGTTCTTTGTAATTCATATAAAAAAGTTTCTATTTCAATCATCATTTTGCAGCAACTACAAGATGAGGTAGGACACTCGTGCTACAATGCTGACCAACACCATAGACATTCGTACCAGGTTCCTCATCTCAAAATACCTTTGGAGTAGAAACTTTTTGCGACCAAAATCTACCAAAGATCAGCTTGCATTGTGTGTGTAAGTGTTTGCTTCATTTCCTTAAAAAAAAGGAACATACAAAATCAAACTAAAAACCATTTTAGTACATTTCAGAGGGTTTCTTGGAATTGATTTTTTTGGTTTGTTTCACCTTGAAATCACAGGCTGTAAAGTATTGTTTCCCCTTTTTTTTGTTTGTTTCAACATCCAAAAAACAAGAACTCTAATAAGCATTTTTTATTTCCTCAATTTCCTATGTTTGGTAGGCAATAAACATAATGAAAATTTTGTTTAAGATCACCGGGGTGAGCTTACCACCCATAAAAAAACAAAAAACTTTTTAACATATCAAACCTGATTTTGAACTAATGATCCCAACAGTAATATATGGCCAAAGTTCCAAAAAAACAACAATATAAGTTGCATATATATAAGCATTGTAGCACATGGAACTAGCTTCAAACCAATATTGATTTTGTTTTCTACTAGAGATTGTAATATTGAGTTATGCTTTCATCCCAAGGGTCTCAAGAAACTAAGGTACGTTGCTTTTGTAAACTACAAACACCATTGAGGTTATGCAAAAATGGAATGAACAAGGGGAGATACTTTTGGGGATGCGCCAGATACCCAAATAGACAATATAAACTTTTTGCCTGGGCTAAAAATGAGCATGATATCAAAAAAGTCAAGATAAAAAAAGATGAAGTTTCTCTTCAATCTGTTCCAGTCTTCCAGATAAAAAAGATATGAAAGCAAAACATTTAAGGAGAGAATTGAAGCTCACAAATTGTCAAAATTGAATATTTTAAAATATGTCTTGTTGTCTTAGGGATTTTCTACAATTTTCATGTTGTTGTAAAAATTGCAATTTGTACTTTAAAAATATAATGCAAAAATCTCATTTGTAGAAAAAAAATCATGTGATATTTAAAATTTTAATTACATATATATGTGACACAATTGATCAAAATATGAGACAAATTAGCTCAGATTTTTGTCAACAACATCAAATATTCTACACCAGTAAACTCATAGTTACAATGTTGGCTGCATATCTCAACAATTATTTTCCTTGATCAATAAATTGTGGGAATGCCTCACCAGATCATTGCTAGGATAAATATATCTTTGAAAATAAGAAAACTAGTAGGGTACTATCAATAAAAAGCCTCACGGCTGTTAACAAAAACAGATAAAACCTCACTGCTGTTGACAAGAAGCCTCAAGCTATACAACCTTAAAAACTAAATGCATATATGCATCTGAAAGTATTCAGGTATATGCAAAGAAGGACCAACATTTATAGTAATGAAATATGAGGCTATGAGGCAATAAACAATGCTCACGTTGGTCATCAATAATCAGCCATGCAAAACCAATTTGATATTAACATTTGTAGGTTGCATTACTACATTGGTCATGCCAATAATAAACTGCCTCGCCTTGATAGTGTTAATGGAAAATGTGATTGCATATCTCATTTTGTGACACTCATTATAGCACTGTTTGAGGAAAACAAAAAAAATGAAAGATTGTCATACCGGTTATTGGGGTCAATGTATGTAGCATAACTCCTATGCTTACCTGTATTCATCAAAGACCAATATAAACAGAGAAGAATATATATCACAGAAATATATAAGCACACTCATCACATAATAAATACATGATATTAACATCATATACTCACAACATTACAATTGTAGCATCGTTGCCAAAAATATATAGTTAAACCCAATAAGAAACAGTTTACATCACTAGTTAATAAGCTGCCAATTAAAAAGGTAAGCTTACTACAAGCTCACTCCCTTATGTCATATCCAGTCAGTGTGCATAACCTAAAAAAGCCAAAAAAAAACCCAAAATATACCTGCAATAATAACTGAAAATCATAAACAACATAAAAGGTAGTGGTAAAGCAATAATTACGACAAAATAATACATTCAATATCTAGCTACTACCTTCTTGGAACTTCTTGAAATTGTCCAACAGAGACCCTATAAAATGTCTGGCTTTGCTCTCATTGTCAAATATGCTATCATAAAAAAGCTCATGTATTTCAATTGGGTAATTATCTTTATGCACAAAGGACAATTTCTCAGTCCAGTGCATATTAACTTCTTTCATAGAGGAAGAGAAGTGTTTGACTTCTCATCTATCATTTGTTGCAAGATCTCATGTTCAAACTTTGACTTTTCCCTTTCCTTTATGAGAAGTTTGCTTTTTTTTGAATTATCATGGATTGGTGCCTTAGCGTTGTTGTTGTTCTAGGATTGAGTGTCTTCCTCATCTAAGATTGTCACTTGAGGAGATTTTTTAGTCATAGGAATAGAATCGTCATTATTGTAGGCTGTCTAAAAATCACAATAGATAGCTTATCCTCCATCAAACACTAATGATGGAAGTTACAATCTGACGACTTCCAGAATGCTACAATTTGAAGACTTTCACGTAGATCGCTGAAGGTTACAATCTGACGACCTTCACGACAACCGATGAGAGCTCTAGTTCAACAGCATTCACAATCAACATCGGGAGTTATAATCTGACAACTCTCATATTCTCAAGGAGCCAAGACGAAGATTACAAGACAATGATCTTTGCAACGCTATGACAAAAGAGATTACTTGTTGATAATCTCTCCAAATCAAGACGCGGAACTCATCACCGCGCTCTAAGACCAAAACGCGGAGGTCCTCCCCGTGTATCAACACCAAAACGTGGAGGTCCTCCCCGTGTGTCAACAGTAAAACGCGATGGTCGAACCCACGTTACAACATCAAAACGCTTAGGTCAGACCCGCGTTACAACATCAAAACGCTGGAGTCGGACCCGCGTTACAATATTAAGATGCTGGGGTCGGACCCGCGTTTTTTAATGCCCAACGGGTACCCAACTCCGCGTCTCCAGTCTAAAATGCGGAGTTAGGGTCCTGAACGCCAACGTGGGCGTTTGACTCGCTCAAACACAAGCTGAACGGTTGCAGGAACCGTTTTCCCTCCATGATTTGAGGGATTTCCGCCCCACTTAGGAGCGGATTAAGGGGGCGGTTACACCCCCCCCCTCAACCCCATTATGGAGAGAATTAAGGGGGGGGGTTACACCCCTTAATTCCATATAAATATGGGTAAACTCAATTGAGTTAAAGGCTGGCCTTTTTGGGATCTAAGAATTGGCAGCGGTCTGTTGGAACTTCTTGGCAGCAAAAGGGGAGATCTTGGAGCATCATAGATTGAGAGATCAGCATCCATCCTTTGGAGCATTCCTTGAAGCCTTCGGTTTTGGCTTGAGAACTGATTCTCGGTTCAAATTAACTCTTTATCAAGAGTTCAAACTCGTTCAAAGTTATCAACTCGTCCAGAGTTCTAAAACTTGCCACACAAGTTCTCCACAACGTCAAATCGTGAGGAGAAGACATCGTTCCAGTGAATCAAGACGTCGGATCGTCAACGGAGAGCAAACTCGACGCGAGCATTCGGGGGAGGCACTCCATCGCCACCGTGAAGAACCTAGTTTTAAACAAAGGGGAGAATCAAATTCGTTCTCCTTTCTTTTGTAATCAGGGAATTTAACTATAATTGATTTTGAGAGAATACAAGTCATTTTCTTTCACTGTCTCTTTACTACAAATTTTCCCACAAACAATTGTCAACATAATCCGCAAGGTTAATTGGCCCGTGTAGGCGTCGAAAATTGCCTATAGGTCTCTACGAACATCTCAGTGTTAAGGAATGACGATGAACGTCACTATCCGGTTCACAGGAGTTCGATTGACGTCGGTGAACGCTTGAAGTGAACCGACGAACTACGTGAGCTGACAGACTTCCGGAATAACGAAGGTGCGGGCTAATCAGGAGCCCCGCAATGTTTACAAAGGGAACAATGCCCTTCGTTTCCCATTCATTCTACAGATAATCCAACCATCGGGGCTGATAGAACTCTTCGTCAGAATTCCAACACAATTCGAATCACTAAGATCCGAGTTCGGACGAAGAATTTAAAGAGGGGTGTCCTAGATTTTTGGGACGCCCTAGGAGTGTCCTAGATTTTTGGGGACGCCCTAGGGGTGTCCTAGATTTTTGGGGACGCCCCAGGGGTGTCCTAGATTTTTGGGAACGCCCCAGGGGTGTCCTAGATTTTTGAGGACACCCCAGGGGTATCGCCTATAAATAGAAGCCTTAGGCCTCACTTTTGGAGGATCTGGAGTTTTGGAGAGAAATTGGCGAAGCCCTGCTGCAGTGAAGAGTGGTCGAGCACTTCAACACAAGGGAGTTCTTCATCAGATCCACATCACCCGCATCCGTTCCTTAGCATTACCCCTCATCGGTAATCCTAAGA